TAATACTAGTTCGGTTCCAAAAAATACTCCACGATTTGGTTAATCGAATCGTAAACACTCCTAGATTTTATGGCCCAATTTAAGGATATAATTAATTAAATATATATATATATATATACTTTTTAGCTTGGACCAGGCTTGAATCAGGCTCAAGCTACCTGAAGCCAACCATAACCCGCAATCCGAAAACTTAGAACCAACCTGTGCAAAAAATCTGGTCAAGCTATATTATTGTCTGTGGAACCGATAATAACACTTCACGTTACCCATAAATTGCATATATATGACTCATAACCACCTAATTTCTCACTTTGATTTATGGTTGGTGCGGGGGCATTAATTATTATTGCATGGTTTGCACCAAATTAACATAACCATCAAGTTAGTACACTAGTACGATCAATTTACTCTTCTTAATAGGGGTATTCGTTATATGATCCAAGCACCAAATGGGATTGTACTGAATAGAATTTGACGATTTGATTTTGCCTGGTCTTAATTAAAAATGGTCTCATTTGGTTTGAGAAACTTTAAAATTTTGGTTTATGGCTTCTATCTAATTTTATGAAATTAAAAAATTAGATTATATATATATATATATATATATTCATAATTTCAAAAATTAATTAATTAGGTTAAACATTTTAACCATATTAAATGCCAATTATCATGAATCAGAAAAATTTTAGCATTTGTCAAAATTTGAATGGGACTAACTTAAGAGCTAATGCCCAAACACCACCTATAAAAATACACAAAAAAAATATATAAATTATTGGGATCTTCTTCTCACAAAATGCTCTTCAAACCAATGTCACATCGTTTATTAGGGACATCTCCCCATGAATATTAAAAGTACTAAATATGTCTCGGACGTGCGGCGGCCTAACACATGTTGTGAGGTCGGTATCAGGAGATGTGAGGTGTGTGATCATGTTGGTAGAAGGTTGGACTCAAATCTCATACATAAGGTGGGATGCGTAGTTGGGAGGGTGTTGGAACGTATTTTATTGGTGCGTAATCCCATCTCCGCCACTTGAAGGTCAAAGCCCCCTTCCCCTGTAGACTTTTTTGGTCGCAGCTAGCTCTAATTCACAAGCAGCAGGGAGGATTTTACAGAACACAGTTGATGATCTGGGTGGTCTGAGAAATTGCTCTCCTAAAATCCCTTCCAATTCTTTTTCCTGTCACAGCTTGAGCTCGGTTGTAGACTCGTTCTTCCAACCTGCTAATACATACCACACCACGGAGCGAGAGGAGATGGATATGCAGAAGAAGGTTTTAGATGAACTGAAAGAGCTACTAGAGTCTATAATAACATCTATTACAGAAGAAGGAGAGCAGCTGCTCAGAGGTAGTGACGAAGCTCTCAGGGAATTGTCTATCAGACTCCAAAGAATCCAAGCGGATGTTCAGGAAGCTGAGGCGGAGTCTCTCAATTTCATTGTAACCCCATCTGATGGCTCCAAGGGGATGCTTGAATGGTTTTTGGATGCCAGAGCCTTGCTTTATGACATAGAAGACTTCTTGGACAGGCAAAGCGCCAAAGTTCTCGCATTACGGAAGGAAAATGATAGAGATGGAGCTGCTACAGTTAACATCGGAACTCCCAACTCCCAACTTCAACATA